TCTGCATAGTTGGGCAAGAACCCTAGTTTCATAAAACTATAATAATCAAAAAAGGAGTCTGATGTTTTGGGCATAAGGATGAAAAAAACCCTTACTGAATGCCCACATACCTTGTGGATGAAAATACTTGCAAGAAATCTGAAGTTGACGCTTGGAGGAGAGAACCCTAGGCCTGAAAATTGTAGAAGACGCTCATTTTCTGCTTGAAACTTACTTGAGAGGAAATTGATTTGTTTAAGGTAGTTTTTGACTAATTAATTAGTCTTAGATGAATTGAAACGATGTAGTTTAGTACCAAACGCATAGAGGGAAAGACTAATATGACCCTGACTTAAAACTGACGAGGTGACTTAAAAGAAGGGCTTCACGGGCCGTTTAAAGCACCACGACCCATCTAGTGGGTCGTGATGTTGCTCTACCCGACAGGGCTTCACTAAAACAAGCACAACTTTTTACTCTAAGCTTAAAATTAGGCAAACTCGATGGTGTTGGAAAGATGACTCAAAGACCTTTAATTTGATAGGTCATGGGCCACCTAATGTTTTTTTGTGCTGAGAGATATAATTGTTTTAAGTTGACACAAAATTTAAAAATTGTTGGGTGACTTGTACGGACCCTTAGACAGCCTGTCCAAGTCCCCACGAGCCGTCTAAGGCGCCATCTAAGTGACTCCTGCCAGGGAACTCTTAGATGGTGGTTCAAAATGCCCTTAATGGGTTGTGGACCCCTAAACGGCCCATCTAAGGTGTCGTGAAGGGTTCATGGTCCATTTTGGGGTTTGTGGACTTTCCCGTTTGTTCTTTTAGCCCTTTCTCGAAGTTTGAGGTGTTACACAGGCCCTACCTCTACCCCAAGCTGGGGTCTCAACAACAGCCTCAAGGACTGCCTCCCCTCTACCACAGGAAATAGAAGCTCTGGTCCTTAGCATCTGCCAAAACAACACGCGGCAACTCAGCACTAGCGAAGGCAACCACGCATGATAAGAAAGGATGAATAGAAAGAAGTTTCCTAACAATCTTTGTTGCCTCTTGAAGATAAGTACAAACCTGGGCTCTGATACCATTTTGTCACGACCCAAAAATAGACGTGATGACACTTTTCAATTCGCACCAAGACAAGTCAACCTCAACCCAACAAAAACGAAAGAAATGCAAAAATATAATAAAACAAGAACAAGACAAAGGTAGAAAACTTATTCATTCTAAACAATACCCCAAAACCTAGTTGTAACGTATACAAGACACTAATGAAAATACATAATTTGAAAGATAAATACAAGTCTGAGTTTTTGTTTCTCAAGTAGAACAAAGCTTAAAGAGAAAGGAAAAGAGGGTCTGCCAAGATGACAAGCAGCTACCTCTCAAAATCCTTCACGAGCCTCGATTGTCAGGAGAAGAAGAAGAAGATCACATGGGTCGGGCTCGAAACCTACACTAGTGTAAAAGCAACGGGTGAGTACCAACAACACAGTACACAACAAGCAACCTACTAAACAAAGCAACTAGCTAGAAAATGAATACCCCCCCGACTCTCTAACCAAACCTCCTCAAACTACCATTTGCATAGAAATAAGCCCAACCTAGAAATTCTACAATACACGGCCCACAAGGCCCAATATTAACAGTCTAATAGCAACAATTTAGCAAGTAAACGAATCAAATAAGTCAACCTCAAAGTCAAGTAGTTCAATCACACGCAACAAGTATATCAATTACAATTAACAACCAACTCACACATAAATATCATATACATCAAGTCGCAATAGTCAAACTCTTTCTAGAATCATTTCCCATCGGCTTTATAACCACTTGCCGGAAATGATCTCGGCATCACAACACTCGCCGGCAAAGACCTCGACATAATAGCACTCGCTAGCAAAGACCTCAACATAATAGCACTCGCCGGCAAATACCTCGACATCATAACACTCGTCAGAAATGACCTTGTCCTAATAACACTCGCCGACAAAGACCTTTGCCTAATAACACTCAGTGACAAAGACCTCTATATAATAACACTTGCCAGCAAAGACCTCGACATAACAATCATCATATGTCTTATCACGGTGTTCACCGATCAATGCATACAGTAATATCACACCACAAGGAAGAGACAAAAAATTGCACAATTCAAGTCCACATTTATAATTTCAAGCATTTCATCAATCAATCACTAAGGGCACAATAAGACAATTTACATCGTCATGTTCATCACATAGCCTTTTTCATTTCAACCATTTTTTATTCATTTAGATGTAACAAGTGGACTTAAACCCTTCACCTCATCCCCATTACTCCCAAACACACGAGCAACGAAGAAAGTACACGAATTCTACTAGAATACAAGGTTTAGGAAGCCACTTGCCTTAAATCAATCAACAATCACTCCAATAGTTGAGTCTTCCCCTTCTGGATCACTTTCAAAGCCACACAATCTATGCACAAGCAAGTATTCACAATCATATTCCGGAAACAATAATACCTATACCAATTTCTCTTGAAAAGCGAATCAATCAACACAAACCCAATTCCGAAAATAAGGTTTGAATCTGAAATTTAATACTTGAAAATATTACTCAAGGCTTTAGGAACTCATTAGGGAAAATCATTTTGAAAAAGGACTTAAAATCAGTTCACAAACTCACTTTTACTTCAGAACTCAAGTTCATGAAGAACCCCCAATTTATCAACTCAAAATCTTAATTTAAACTCATAAATTTAATAATAATAATAATAATAAAGGGTAATCGAAGATTTAGAGTTAAGAAACGTTACCCAATAATTTTATCTTGAAAAACCCACTTGAAATCGCCTATACCAAGTTCTCAAAGCTCCAAAAATCAAAATGGGGAAGAAACCCAAAAGTTTGGGTTTAAACATTGTTAGGGGTCCTCCGAGAACGCCGACCCCTACCCACAAACGCGGTCTTTAATGAGTTTGACCTCCACGAATGTGGTAGGTCTCTCACGAATGCGGATATCAATGCATTGGCCTCCCATGAATACAGTCGAGACTCCGCGAGCGTGGGGGTTCTCACCCCTCCCCTCTGTGAATGCGGCCACAAGCTCCGCGAACGCGGAGGGTGCACCAGAACACAGAAAATCAGTCAACTAAAAAATCATCGAAAGGACCCTCGGGATTAGTTCAGAACCTCGTACACACAAACCATATATGCAAATCAATTATAATGGACGTTCCAAACTCAATGGAACCGTTAAAACACAAATTTGAGGTCTCCTTGAGCTTACATCCATGAAAACTACAAGAAACTAACTCAATGCCTAAAAAGGCAAAAACAAGCTCGGAGCCTCTCAAAAATCAACCAAGACCTCACCTAGGCCTAAAGTCATCCCTCAAATCCAACGGAACTGGAATGTTGACAAAAGTCAATGCAAAGGCTGAAAGTCCACAATTGCATAACTTAGGACCTTGAATCCTCAAAAAGACTCGAAATAAAAAACCAACAACTCTCAGGGATCAGATTTCACATTTTGGGACTGATGGAATCGACGAAATTTCATTCTGACACTCGAAACTCCAAAAGACCCCAAAACTACTTTCTTAACAACTTCGGGTTTAAAACTCACAAGCTTAACAAATGCTCAACTTTTAACTCAAAATTCAAAAATAACTTTCAAAATCAATCATAAAAGACTCGGGGTCGACATCCGGAGGGGAAAAACAGTAATTTCATGAAACTTTCCAAAAATGACTGATCGGATCATTACACTAATGGAGAAGGTGGAGAAGTGTTGCCAACACACATATTTCGGAGCAGAATAGGGTGGCAGGAGCAGTACTTTTAGAAAACCCACCTTTTCGATACGTTTTCTAGTGTTTGCAAAGAATGCAGTTCAGGCAGACATTTCAGGATCAATATACTCAAAGGAAACTTAGTTTTTTGTACTCTCTCTGTCCCAATTTATGTGACTTACTTTCCTTTTTAGTCAGTCCCAAAAAGAATGACACATTTCTATATTAAGTAACAATTTAACTATAAAGTATCTATTTACCCTTAATGAAATGATTCACAGCCACACAAATTTCTATCATTCATTTTGAACCACAAGTTTTAAAAGTCTTCATTTCTTTCTAAAATTTTGTGCTAAGTCAAACTACCTCTTATAAAATGGGACAGAGGGAGTAATACTTATGTATATGGCCAAATTTTGTTCCAAAACACTAACATTCATGTTGCCTGCGACAGACCCATTTCATACCAGTATTTTAATATAACTATCCCGTTAATAAAAAAAATCCTATCCTATCAAAATCTTTCTTATGTTCCCTCTTTTTTTTTATAAAGTTGAAAATTATTCAAGAAAAACCATGTTATAGGGATCTGTTGTGCCAACTGGGGAACCCATATAACATAGTTTCAGAGAGGAAAATGTGCTAGCAAAGGAGGGCGCTATGATGAAGCAAGTTAACTCCTTCATATTTTGAAAAGTTCTACCGTTGTTTATTTCGGATGAAGTAGAGAGAGCCAAGTAAAAACTCTTTTTTTGTTTCGCTTAAACAACCAATTTTACCTCGGATAGTTGTAGTAGCAATAATATTCTTCCCCCTACCCGACCATTACTAGCGGACAAGTCGCTCTGCCACGACTATATAATGATGCATATTAATTATTAATATCATCTCCTATATACCCAAAAAAGAAAAGCATTTCAAAATCATGAATAGTACTGATAAATATATAAAAGATATAAGAAATGAAATAGAAAACCATTAATTATTAGATGTTTAATTTGCTATATCCATATATACCCTAATGAAATATCATGTGCAGTGACAAGCAAGTGCAACAACATGTTTTCTCATAGTTTGATGAAAAGTGAACTCCCTTCAATTATTCCAGAAGAGACTTAACAAATTTCCTTAAATTGCTTTAACTTTTTGTTAAGAGACGAAGCCAAATGTTGCTCTAAAATCTACATAAAGTCTATACGCTTATAATATGACGATCATCGATAGACACAGAGTTGCTGTTAAATCAAATTAAATTGAAAGCCTCAGCTCCAAATCTAATTCATGGTCGCCGTTTGATTCAGAGATATGACTAGTACTTGATCCAATTGAGTTATTATTTCTGGTTCGATTCTCCATTGACTCCTGGTTCATTCATCAAACAATAAGACATAACAAGAAGAATATGAAAATTCCAATTATTCGATTGAGAAATGCAAGAAAATACCTCTATTTGTAGGTTAAGTAGATATCTATTCATGTTTGGCTGAGCAAACTGCTGAGGCTCATACACTGTACCAGGATGCCAAGCACTGAATGTGATGATAAAAGGTAAAAAAGATATATTAGCAAAGATATAATAACTGTCCTAATGAAATGATTTATTTAGGAAAAAAAAAATCGATCCGAAAACATATGTGTATGTTTTAAAATTAAGAAGGATTTTGAGCATATTTTTCATTGATAAGGTTTTCGAGGAATTACAAGTAACAAAACACATTTAGGTCGGTCAAATATTTTTTTCTAGGAAAACAAGCTCTCTAATGAAAGTTGGGAAAATAAGCGCTGCTACTATGGACGATCTATATTGATCGTGTCCTCTTCATCCTCCAACACACTTCATCTTCACCCCTATCCCTCATCCTCACGTCCCATAGTATTTGTCTAAATTATAGATACGGATGTGATAATAGTTTTTCACTTGCCTACACAATTAATTTCTAAAAAACATTTTCCTTCACACACCCTTAAAGTGCAAATTAAATTTTCTTTTTAGTAGGAAAATAAATAGTACCTAGCTGTTGAAGGTGGCTGGGAATCTCCATATCTAATATTTGCTCTTTCAATGTCCCCCAATCCCATCTGAAATCACAGAAAGATTTGTTATCACAAAATGGAGAGGGGAAAATATCTTGTAATTGCACACCACACCACACATACATAATTCCCAAAATAGGATAAAATAAATCAATTTTTAGTATCCAAACATATGGTACAATTTTTTCATTGTTTAGGACACTTTGTAATGTAATGTTCGTCTATTATCAAAACTAAGTCATTTATGGATATTATTAGAAGGGCCCCGCCGTGCAGGTCCAGTCTAGTCTACCTTTCGATCCATAAGGATCAGAATCAAATGAATGCGCATTCTCTTCCCATAATATTGGAATTGTTAAAAAAGAAAAGATAGAAAGTAGGGGTACCATAATGGTTTGTTGTGGTGTAAAAGCATAAGAAGAAGTTGATGAATATGAAATTGATGGAGTTGATGGATAAGGGTTGTAATTAGTATTGCAACCCATTTGAGTATGCAATCTAATTTTCTCAAGTTGAGCAACACCAAGACCTCTTTGTGGTTGTTTTGGTTTCTCTGAATTGTTCTTCTTGCTCTTTCTTGATGATGATCTTTCATTTCCTATCTTTGGTTCACCAAAATTACAACTTCCCATTCTTTCTCTTCCAAAAATAATTAGAAAACAAATAAATTTGTGTGTCAAGTTGTGAAGAGAAAGGAGATCTCCTAAAAGGGGTTTTTATGCTCTCCAACTTCCCTATTATAATTTTGTAATTATTGCATTGCTGGATCAGATTGTCTATTTACATTTATCAGATTCATTTCATTTTTATACTTGCTTGGATTTTATGCCCTTTTATTAATTTACTACTTTTTTTCTTTTTTTGTCAACTGCCAAAAATATCCAATATTATTACTCACTCTGTCCAACAATAGTTATCAATTATTGATTAGACACACTCCTTAAGAAACTATAAATAGAAGGACAATAAATACAATGTCTTGAAAAATGTGATAGGAAAATGACTATATTTAATGATAAGGGTAAATTAGGAACTAAATATAAAATCATTCATGGATTTCATAAAGTGGACTAGTATTGTTGGACATCTATTTTTAGTATATAGTGAATAAGTATTGCTGGACAGAGGGAGTAATATAGTTTGATTTGATACGAAATTTAAGAAAATAAAGAAGATTTATCAATCTTGTGGTTTTAAATTAAAATTATAATAAATGTATCAAAATGCACTTTAATACTGTGATATTAAATATATCACGTACTGTTTCCAAAAAAAAAGGCTTATTCTTTTTTAGATGGAGGGAGTTGATTTTTGTGATCGTCCCTCTATCATATACTCATATTTATTTAATGCAATTATATATACAAAATCTTTTTTTTCTTCTTGTGCGCTTCGATTCCACGTTTCTTCTCTCTAACCCAACCTCCTTTATTAATTATTTTTTTCTTACCTCTCTTGGGAATTGACTATAATAATGATCTTCTATAATATTATTACGTGAACCTTATTTGCGTTAAAAAAATTGTATGGATGATAATAGTTTTAGAAATAGATTTTATACCCTATTTCTTGAATATCCATTATGTGTTGGCATTTATTAATTCCGTTGTAGTACTCCGTCTAGTCCAATATAATGAAATGTTGGCAAAAATTGTATAGTTCGAAATGAATGAATATTTTAAAGTTCAAAAATATATTAATTATTTTGGTTAATAGATTATAGAACCACCTTTCTTTTTAATGGGTCTTTTAGCTACTTTTAAATCTCAAATAATGACTATTTTTATTTTAAAGAAAAGTTTGAAAAGAGTCACAAAAATAATTTTAACAATTTGAAATTTGATTAAATGTATTTAAATTTGTATTTAGACTAAAGGGAGAAGTATTTAATAATTCTATTTGCTTATATACAAATTGGAAGAAATATAAGGAATTTTGTTATCTAGATGAGCGAGATGTAATGTGTCAATGTTCATGTTTGATTCTCATAAGTGATATATGATAATTATCTAGTGTTTGACACAGATTTTCAAATATAAATTTATTTATTTTTGTCCCTCTATAGGAATTTTTACTTTTTTGGTTCTTGCTGATTTGAACTCACAATCTTAGAATTAAACGTGAGGGGTTGTTGCCGTCCGATCAAGATCCTCACGTCCAACAAAATATGGTGAAATAGATACTTGAAATCTTTATTAGCTACTTCGTAGGGATTGTCTTGTAGGATGAATAGACTTTTTGACCTTATAACCAATTACATGAAGCAAACATGCATGGAAGGATTTTAAATTCCACAGCTGGGGTTTTATTTATTTTATGTTAAAAGAACTACTTTTTTTATTATTATTATTATTATTATTATTATTATTATTTTTTGAAAACTGATGAGTCTCATGTAAGGAATAATTTAATGAGAATCAGATCTTGAATGTATATGTGTTTAAGATAACAATACAATTGTAATTAATGTGAACAATATACATTGTCTTTTTACAATTCATGGAACTTATTACAAAATCTGAATCCAAATCTGGGGATAAATTTTACTGGTAAAGAAATAAATTATGAATCCGGCCTTTCATTCCCTTTTAAGTGATTTTTTGGTCTTTTAATTTATTCCAAAGTACGTATTTTTTTAATAAAAAAAGTATTAATTTTATTTTTTATTTACAAAAATACCCTTATCTAATAAATGTTTTGATAAATTTTTTATAAAATTTTTCAAAGGTTTCTTACAATTTTCAATGCATATATTAAAGAGATTTTATTTATTTTTAGCAAAATGACTTACTTAGGGTGTGCTAAATATACTTAAAATAAACGTAGGAAGTATAGAAGAATTTCAAAGGTGTAAATCATAATCTAATCAAAGCTGTTAGGCGCATGATTTGTGGGGCATATTTTATGAGTTGTTTCGTGGTGGAAAGAGAGAATCCACTCATTTTTTAAACAAAACATGTGAACTCTAGCAATTACAATTACAAGAAAACAAATCTTTTAGGATGGTGTATCGGTTGGTTCGGTTTGGTTTTAAAATTTATCAGTTTGACTTATTGGTTATCGGCTTGTGAACATGGTAAATCATTATAAAACCATGAAGATATTGGCTTATCAATAATCGATATATCAATTATTGATCGTTATCAATTCGATTATCGGTTTAACTATTAAGATTTGTAACAAAAAAAGTATAATTAATAATCACTTATAAATAAGGTGACAAACCAAATAAACCATGCACATGAAGTGACAGATTGCATTTTGCTTAAAAGCAAGCACCGACACATTGTAGAATAACTGAGAGTTTGAGACAACTCAGAAATGAAAATATGAAACTAAGGCCTAAGTCAAGGACTTTATATATCGAATGGTATAAATATAATTTATTATTGGACTATCGGCTAACCCATTAAGTAAAAATATCAAACAGTTAAAAATCTATAACCCAATAATTAAAAAAGTGAAAATCATGACCAAAACCGCTAAATCAATAAATTAATTCATTATAGATAAATCATTACCTTTATTCCGATTCAAATTAGCGATTTTAATTTGATTTTAAATGACCCTACCTCGAAGCGTCATATTCTCTTTCAAATCTCTTCCTCCTCTTTTCCAATTTAACATAATTTGTTTGCTTGTCACTCCAAAGGAAGTCACTTTTTAAGGGTCCATTCATGGGGTAACTAGAAAGTACTAATGTTTAAGGTTTGATAACTTAGGGTGTTTAATTGGTAGAAAGGAAAAAGTTTTTCATGGAAAATATTTATGTAGAACTTGTTTTTGGGGAGAATTTTATTACTGAAATATCTATTTTTTTGAAAAATAAGTGACATTTTTAATTACTTATTTTTTATAATATATTTATTAGGTATGGTGGGAAGTGGTGGTGGGGCCAGAGTGTATGGAATGTTGAAGATGGACGTTATTTGCTTAGATCAAGATTTATTTTTAGCAATAGTAATTATTGTGAGGAGTATTTTTTTTGAGTCAAACTATAAATGAGGAGCATGTTTCTAGTTAAAGCTATTGTTATAGTTCATTAAGTTGTTAGATATATTGATTCTTTGTTCGATATATTGTAAACATAATATTTTTATGAAAAATTTGTAATAGGTGTTTGATTTTTAAGTTGTAAAGACTTTCAAGATTGGAGTAAAATTTTGAAAGAGACATTGTAACTATGCAGAGAAAGGTATTAGAGTTAACTCCTTTGGTTACAAAGTTATAGTCTAAAATTCACTCAACTGAATAAGCAATACGAGTTATTCATGATATACAAGGGAGAAATGTTTAATAATATTGTTGATGAATTAAATGTTTAATAAATTCATAATTACTAAAGAATTAAATTATCTTAGAGAATTCATTCTCAAAGTCAAAGGATTGGGAAACTCTTCTAGATATTTTATATGAATCATGAAAAAGGTATGTTAATACAATTATTTAAGCCATGAAATTGAAAATCATGACTATGAATTATAAGCTCATGAAAAACTTGAAGATGAAGAAGCTCACAAGATCTTAAATGTAAATTTAGAAATTAGTATATTTCAACAATAGTCATGAGAAATGGCTATCATATTGTAATGAGTTAACTCTATCCAATTTTAGTTGTATTTTGTGGACGTTGAGTTTTATGTTTCGTTTTTTATTTTTGTGTTTGGAATTTATCATGTAATATATAAGGTAGAAATTAAGTTAATCCTCGTCCTCAAGGTGACATTTAATAATTAAAAAAATCTAATAATTCACATTCTACTCTATTCAAAATTCAAATTCATGAGTAAATATCTATACCCATTTATTTTTTTAAAATCCTTTTAGGCAAACCTCTCTAATATTAGGTGTTCTTGAATACCACATTTTAAGTTACTTTAATAAAGTAATCTTATTCTTACTCCAAAATCACAATGGAATATTTACTTAGGAAAGTGGAACAATATAGACATGTAGATCCCAAAGTTTGTCTCACGAAAGATTATTAAAAGGATTAAAATAACTTCATCACATTTTGTTTGTCCCAGGTTTGTACAACGGAATATTGGGTTATCAATAATAATATGGGTGTATTGAGAAAATGTTTTATGATTTTCTTAGGTTGGATTGGTCAAATTTGTTTGGATACTATATTTCTAGAATAATAAGTTTCTTGAAAATAAAGAAAATGACTTTTCTAATGGAAATGACATTTCACATCGATAATATCCTTCACACCTTCCAACACACCTCATCTTCACTCCTAGTTCTATCACCCATATGTCATAGCCATTCCCACCACCCCCTACCCTCAGGGGCGGATTTACCTATACCTTAGGTGTGTCACGTGACACAGCTTCGTCAATTTTTTTTACGGAATATACCTCTATAAAAAAAATAAAAAATAAAATAAAAGATAAAAGAATTGAAAGGACACCCCTTATAACAAAATGCTCCTAGCTCAGATTGCATAGGTGTTGCATGTAGTCCGCATTGATTCGAGTTTGATTCCCGTAGGAGGTGATTAGTTTTTCTCCGTTTTTATTCATGTTTTTTTTTTGTTTTATTTTTTTCTTTTCTTAAATTTATTAAATCTATGTTTTAAATTCAAAGCAATAAGTCCCCTTCATTAAAACCTACCGACCCACTCTAA